TCACGGAGTGTAATTTTCCGGGGTGTTATGTACATCGCATAGGAACCTATGTCACTTCTAACACCTTTCTCTATATTATGAATTTCCTTTTACTCACCTTTCTCTTTATCTTTCCCTTATTTCGTCGCATTTCTCTATCGCAAACACCTTCCACAACCACCACTGCACTGTATAATACATTTATGCATATCTACTCGGTAACTTTGGTCAGAATGCATTACTGCATACGTTTCCATAACATTTTCCATAATGCAATTGTGTCAACACTACTTTCTACCTGGTAGTACGTTTTTTTTGCACTTTTGATAATAAAAGAAGAGCTCGAAGGAAAAGTAAGATGAAGATTGAAGATATATATTGTGTAATAATAGATTACAGGGAAGTGGTAGGTATTTGATAGATTGTGTTCTTTTCTGTTTTTTTTTAACATTACTTTGACGAAAGTGGTCTAGAAATTTTTTCATCCGATTATTTAAGCTTATTGAAAATTTCTTAACTTATTTTCGCGCTTATTTTAATACTTGAGTAGAAGTTATAATTTTATAAAGGAAATTTGCTTTTTTGTGTGAAGCTTAAATTAACATAAGTACTTAGTTTTAAAATAATCTGTTTCAAAATTATTTTTTATTTTCTTGGTGATTATTTTTGCTTATTTTTTATGTATTTAAAAAAAAGGTTCTTTTGTATTAAATATTTTACTTTTGTAAAAAAATTGCTTTAAAAAAAAATTAACTAAATTAAGATGTTTTTATTCAAGAGAAGTTCTGGTTCTAGAATTGTGAAAGGACATTTTGTATTTTCCCTTTTTTTGTTTTTTTTTCCTTTTTTTTTGAAAAAATAATGAAGATGAAATTTATAGTGTGGTATTTTATAGAGGTCCTCGAAAAATATACTGTAAATAGTGGAATGTCTAGTTCTTCAGTGAATAATTTGTAAGGGGAAAAAAATAACTTTATTTGTAAATGACACATCATTCCTGAAGTGGAAAATCTATGAGAATATAAAAAATGCAATCGAATATTTTTTTTACAATGTTTTTCACCATCTTCTTGAAATTTAATTTATTAAAATTTACTGTTAACTTATCTCATTTGCGATTCTATAAAAAAAAAAAATAAATGAACATTCAATACTTTAGAAAACTTCCAGTTTATTTTTCCTCTTCTCTTTCTGACGGAGAAACACTTATTTTTTTTCTTCATTTATATTTTGCGACAAATGATGTTCTAAATCATTAAAAAAAGATCGGGTTGTTGAACTCATCACTACGTATTTTTTTCTTTCTTAAAAAAATCTCAAAATATTTTATATTCAGATAAATGTTAAGTCGCTTTTATTCGTCTGTTTTCATTCCTTCACTTCAAAAATTAATGGTAAAAAAGTTAAAACCACAAGACAACTCAAGACATTAAGACAGAAAGAAATATTCTAAAACTGACACATTGCAACTAAAAATCGTGAGAAGAGCACGTTCACTTGGCTCGTTGTAAAGTGATGAAAACTTACGACTTAAAGTCGACAAGTGTTGTCACTCATATTTAACATTTAAAAATGCTTTAATAATTCTTCATAAACTCACTAATAAAATGTTTCACGTCGTACAATAAAATGAGCTATTATTTCTTGTGGTTTCCAAGCTAATTCGCTTAATTACTTATAATTAAATAGAAATTCCTCTGGGTAAAACTTTCGCGTTGTATAATTGGTAAAAAGCTTAAACTTTAACTCTAACACTATTCAAGTTGGTAAGATGAATATCATTTGAGTAGTTTGACACACCTACGTTTGTAAATTATCCTCACATATCTCTAGAGACATTTCCGCATCTTCAGAGCAATTTAACTCATTATAACGTTAACTTGATATTTTTGCTGAATAATTTGAAATTTCAGATCGTTTCATTGAACCTCATTATCATCTGAATTAATTGCGTCGTATGTTTTACTCCAAAATAATACAATAAATATCTTTCATAAAATATTCCATACTCACAGTGAACATTCAAAAAAAAATTATTATTTGTTATTTTTCATTAAAATCATTACTAATATATTATATTAATTAAAAAGTTAATTAATAGATTATTTGCTACACTAAATTTTAATTAAAATTTACTAATCTATTATTAATCAATAAAATAGTATCCAAAGAGCATAAATTAAAATTAACATACTAATAAATTAACAAATATTAATCATTTATTATTCATAAAAAAGCCAGTTTTCATTTTCTATTTATCTTGCATTGAATTTTGAGTTTATAATTCATGTGTTGTTCTCATGTAAATACCAAAGTCCAAACTAAAAAGAGACCACTTGGATATAACTGAATATTTATCAAATAATATTTAAACTACAATTTACTTAATAATTGTTTAAAATTTATTTATTCAAATAATTATAAAGTAAATAGTAATAACATACTCTTCAATAAATAGAAAAATACTATGATGATAATTACCATAAATTTTCTTTTATATAACTCAACTTTCAAACTCGAGATTTATCAGAAATGGAAGAGAAAATGTAAAGTACTTACAACTTGGCCTGTGGGCGTACATGAAAAATTGCCCATGCAGTTATTCAAATTTCTGCGACTAACAGCTGTATTATTAATGACCGTAAACGATCATTAAATTATGGAGCTTTCAACTGACTATTTGGTCAATATGTCAGTAAGACAGACTTAAGATCTACCCATGAATGCATTGTTATGAATAAATCAAGATGGGATAGAAAAAAAATATAAATAAACCTTATCCGTACAGTCGTTATTTACATCCGGTTAAATATTATCGTAATCATAAAGCTATGGTTATTCTACTTTCTTTCACGCACAACCTTGATAAATGTTATAAACACTAACCTACTCCAAATATATCAGACTTTAATCTCTACGAATTCGATGTAGTGTGAATGTTTCAGTGGATGACGTATGGATCTCTTTACTTATCGAATTCACGTTAGTTATTCATTTTTTGTTCTTTTTCGATTTTTACCTCTTCTTTGACTCCTTTCGTGTATATTAACGATAGAAAAAATTATTACATGCTGACGTTTACACTTTAAATGCAATTTCTTTTTTTTTCAATTGTGAAGTTGGAGAAAATTTTTTTTAATTGAATTTCCATTTTTATTTATAGACTTAGATGAAATAATGTAAAGATTAATTACTGGTACAAAGCTCTACAATACTTCTAGCATAAAAAAATTAATTGAATTGAAAAGTATTTATTTAGCGTCAAACAATGAATTTGAGTTCAGTTAAAGATTAATTAATGTTAATTTTTTAAAATTAATCAAGCCAATTGTTTAAGTAGAAGAAAAAATGTTGATCATTAATTTAAAAGAAGGTTCCTTGTAAAGAAATTAAATTTTTTGCAATATTAAGTAATACTAGTATTGCTATGCGTTTAAAGAGTAAAAAAATATAATCTAGTAATAAAATAAAAGAAGAAACTAAGCTTTCCAATTTAGATAATAAAACCTGAATTGTTTTTCAAATTAAAAATTTCAATCTTGGCAACCTGTTTAATAAATGCACAAGCACCTTAGCCAAAGTATGTAATTCGAATCGATCGAAAAGTGAAAAAGAGAAAAGATGAGAAGATACGAACACTAAAATTTTAGTGAGAATGGAAAGAAGAGATAAAACGATAGTTTGAGAGAAATAAGAACAAGTAAATGCATTATTAAAACAATATTGATAACATATATCCATTTGAAGATACATATCATGACTTTATCATCAATTGAGAATTTCTTTTTTGAAAAATAAAAATATAAAAATATATTTACGCAATTATAGTTACACTATAAAAAAAAAACTCAATGAGTAATTACATTTACTGTAAAAAAATTTGACAACTGCAAACAATAAAATTCCGGAACACTTCTTATTTGTACAAAAAATTTAAGTTAAACAATCAAAAATCCATTTGAACTGTAGACAAGAAAACTTTTCTAAAATAAACCAAGAGTTTGAAAAAATCTAATCAATTTTGAATATTCGATTTGTTAAATTTTTATATTTATTTTTAATATTTATAATAATACTCATAGTGTTCAGTGTTCGATGTAAAAACTAGATAAGAAAAATTTAGTCTTCTAAAGAACTCAACCCCACCTATATCTTTGTAATTCAATTTTATCTGAACAAGCAAGAACGTCTATAAATTGAATTTATATGGTTTTCATTCTTTGGTTGCTCGATCGCAAAATACAAAACTAAACGTGACGTTAATGTAAAATAAAATTTTTCTATGGAAACCATTGGCCATTTTTCTATAAACAATTCAATAATATTCAAGTTCTCTTTTTTAAATTTACACAACAGTCAATAAAAATCACATATTTATATATATTCTCTCCAAGTTAAGCTTTTATATAATAAAAATATGCCTGCCAAATACCTATAGTAATAACTGCTCAGTATAAAACCATTTATTCATAAATTGCAAACTAATCCATTTTCATAAACCTTTATTTTCAATAGAATTTTTCCGTTATTTTTGTTATTTTACGCATAGGAGAATTGGTAAAAGTTACTGATGCATTGTCAAATTTTTTTACGCAAGATTGACTAATACTCACGTTTAAATTAAAATATTATTTATGGTTTTATAAACATTTGTAATACGGATAGAATATCAAATACCTATTTGCTATCTTATTGTATTCGGTTCATTCTGAATGTAAACCGATAACTACGTCAATCTATTAAATTTTCAAAATTTTCTACGAAGCTTCAAACAAAAGACACAGTACTAACACTAAAAGAATAACTCAATTTAATGATGCTACTAAATACAATTAATGGTAAAAAAGACCATCAACTTATTACTCCGAAATTACAAAAAAAATTTTAGGTTAAAAATTGATGGACATAAAAGTGAGTTAGAGTTTATAAAGCTTGTGAACGAAAATAAAAATATCAAATATTAACACAATTACAATAAATACAATCTTTTAACAATAAAAATGTAGTTAAAAAATACTCACGTATTGGACACAACAATCGATTAATTTACTTCTTCCAAGCTTTTAGTGCACAGTAATGATGGTTCCTTTGTTCTTAAACTTCATTATCGCCTTTTCACTTCAATTCGTTTCACTTCACTTCGTATTTCTTTTCTTTTATTGTTCTATCAAACGTGTTTTGTTGATCATGTTACTTCAACGGGTATACGAACTAGTGAGTAAAACAAAAATCCACAAGAAGACCGCGAGAAAAGACAATCTACACAGTTTCAATAAAAGCTTGTACTCACTAACATTCAGAACCAACGGTTACAAACTCACTCGGCATTTATCCCCACTCCCCTCTCCTTCATTCGTTACCTTTGTTCTTTTGTTTTGGTTTCGCTTAGATCGAGGTCAATAAACACATCAGGACTTTAAGTTGAATAACTATAACTCTTGTAAGAGATTTTCATAAGAAATATTTGTAAACAAATTAATGAGAAACAGAAGCAAGAATCTAAGCTCGAATAAATGAGTTACATTATTGGATAGCAAAGTCGATCGTATGAAAATAGTATTCTAATATGTATTCGCCAATGAAAATGATCGCATGGGAATAGCGAACGAGAAGTTGGTAGTATGTATTGAAAAACGAGAAGTTGGTAGCATGTATTACGCGAAGATGGTTTACATAATGAGATCATACGATAAAATTGTTCCATAGATAAAATAGTCTTTGGACAGTTTAAATAAAAGTAACTTTATCGATTATATTTGAATGAAATACATAAATTTTTTCAAGATATTCCAATTGGATCAGGTAAAAAAAGAAGGCTATGAAAACTTCTTCGTTTATATACCATCAACAACGTAGACTAAAAATGGTAAATTTCTACTGGTCCTTGAGGTTCAATTTAAGACATTAATTTTTCTACAAGTGCACGATAAGTAGAGAGATAAAGCTAAGTGAATCAATTTTATTAAAACTGGGAGAGAGGAATTTTTTTTTTTGCAAAAATGAAGTCTGATAGTGATTTTTAATTACTGGATAACCTCTTTACGATTTCAAGAAAGTTTTTTATAAAATTAGAGAAAAGATAAAAATTGTTAGTGACAATAGTCTCTGGAGATCGACAATGTTGGAGTCACGATTTCTCGAAGATTAAGCCATCAAGGTTCGTTTTTATCACGAAGCCAATATAAAACAGAAAGTTATTATATATATTCTCACAAAACGATCTCATTCTCAGAAGACAAAGAAAAGTTCTAGCAGTAGAATAACTTGAAAGGTATATATACTTTTTTACTGAAATACATCATATATATTATCTTGATCCCCTGTTATTATTTCCAAAAATGTAACGTATTGATATTAAAGCAATACAGTGAAATTTTACAAATCAATTTAATTGGATTAAATAGTGAAATAATTCAACTTCAATCGAAATTAAATTGCTCTATTTACAATTGAATGATTGAATAAATGACAAGACAATTCATATTAATTAGCCAAACCAATTTAATTAGAATAGTGAAAAATCAAAAGCTGATAATTAGTACTAACTATTAACACTTTATTGCAAAACAGATTTAGTAATTTTTGCCTTCAAAGGGTAACAATAATTGCACAGGCAGAGTGTCAACACAACAGCAGCGAGGGTTTGTGTCTCAAGTATATGAACACCAGCATATAGGTGGCAAAGTCCACTTATCCTGGGATTGTTGGAGTGTATGTACAGAAACAAAGAGAGGTAACAATGATAACGAGAACACGAGACAGACAGAAGCAGAAGAAGCAATGAGAGAGAAACCAAGAACACGTGAATAGAGGGTGAAATAGCTCCAGGGTTTGGATAGAGAACGGCAGCGTTGGTTAGCTAACACGTGACTTGAATTTTAGGCTTCCGCAGTTTCTCTTCTCAATGTCGCCGCTTGTTCAGCTACCCCTGACAGCTTTGGGATCGGGCGTTACCAACCTACCGAAATCACGACCGTATGTTCTGAGAACTAAAGGGGTATGTAGCCAAGTCGATCCATGTTGGACACAAGTCAACTTGACTGGTTTTAAACCATTTACATCAAAGTTTGAATGAGCGTAATGTCCGGGACTTAGAACGGACAATTTACTGATTTCACTATTTGATAATAAATTCAATTTGCATTCAATCAAGAAGAAGAAAAAAAAATATACTGAAGAAAAGAAATAATTTTGTACTGTTTGAATGGATCTCTTGAGACATATAAATGTTCACAAGTCATCACAAGAGGAAGTCGTAAAATAGTCCGCTTCACTGAATCATGTCTTTGATCTGATAGAAATATATTGGTCGTAAAAATACTAACAATAAATTGCAACATGATTTTCAATAAAAAATTCATAAATTTAACTTCTTGAAACAATTGAAAAGTGAAGTTTCTTACCTAGAATATTCAAAATCAGTTCAACGAAATGTCTTTCGAAAAAAGATTGATTATCATCAGAAAAAGGAAGAATGTAGAAGATTTTGTAGCTGAAACTAATATAAATGTCGGATGGTTGAAAATGAATGAAATGAATCAGTTCTTGTAGAAGACAAGATGAAAATAATAGAATACGACAGATCGTTCAGAAGACAAATAAGAAGACATTTGAGAATCCTATTTAATTGTCTTTTCTTTATATATTAAAGCTGCGAAACCAATTCAAATTTTCAGAAATCTGATATCGTTCCTCATAATAATATCTTCATCTGTAGAATTTATTACGAAACGTCTTCTCTGTTTAATATCTTCAAGATAAATGGTAATTTAGTTTTATCTTTATTTTGATAATATCTCATAGCTTCTGCTTAAAATTATTTTTGAAAGTTTTCTGCTCAATTCATTAATGTAAAAGAAATACTCACAATTAACTTAACTCTTACTTAAAGAATAGAAACTTCATTACAGTACTTTTTTCCAATTTCAATCACACTTATAGTGATTAAAATTGTAATTGCTACAAGCAATTTTGTTTTCGCTATTAATTAAACAAAATCTGTGAAAGTAAAAAAACTCAATTATCCTTTGTTTCCAGGTAATTAATATCTAATAAATGATTACTAAGAGTCATTACATGTAATCAAGATATTTCTTCATGAGGAAAAAGAATAATAGAATGACAAATAAATCTAATTTATGAAGAAAACATTCATATGCAAACGGGAATCCGTAAAGAATTTAAAGAATCTTCTGTAAGTAAATAAATGAAAACTTGACAATTTAATAGTTCATATTTCAATTTTATAGTCAGTTTTTGAAAATTATAAAATAAATTATTTTTTCAATAAGCGTTTTTCTTTGGTTTCGGTAAACTAAGGTTTCAAACAAAAAGATGAAGCTAGAAAATTATAAAAAGAATATTATATTCTTGAGACCATCAATTTACATCTTTAATGATGAAGATGTTACTCTGAACTCCACGTTCTTTTACCCATTTTGCTTGTGAATATAGATTTAAACAGTCAATCAGTCAGACCATTTTCTTTCTCTAGAAAAAAATTTCTTTCCATAGAGAAGATGAATAGCTAAATTTAATCTTGCTACAAATTCTTAAATCTAATATAAAAAAATACTATTTGAATAATGACTATAAAATAATCAAATATATATAATTAGTTCAATATAGTATGAATAAAATCATTAATCAATTGAATGATTAAATGTGTTAAATAGGTGATTATACAATTTTAATGAATGGAAAGAATTATAAAATGTTGCCTAAAAAAAGGGCAACTCAGACACTTTTATCCTTCGATCAGTAATATTCAAACATCTTTTCCTTATTTTTCTCTCATTGTCTTTTTCTTTCATTATTCATTGTAATATCAGAAAAAGCAGTTAAATTCAATCTATCCTCGATTAGAATCAAAAACATCTTCTAAAGTGTCTTTAAATTTCAATCAAGACTCTTAACTTTTCTCTTTAAGTTCCCAATTAGTAAAAGAGCATATTTAAATGTAGTCAATGAACCTGACATATTTGATGAAGCATGTACCAAAGTCATTTGCAAAAAGCATAGCCAACTAGAGATTGTAATCGGCCAAACATTTCATAATGAATAATAAAAATAGCTCGTTTCGATGAAAGAATACAATACAAAACATGATATAATGGACAAATTTAATAACAATGATGAAAAAATAATTGAAAAAGTTTATAGTTTAAATGAATACAACACCAACAATTTATTCAAAAATATTGATGTTGCTAATAAAATGACTCGTGCTCACGTTTTAATTAGCGATATTTAAATGTATAACTTGTCTGAGTAGTTTTTTCATTGTAATGCTACACTGTTAATACTCAGCTGTTTTTTTCCAGTGTATGTATTACGGAATACAGACGTCAGAACTTCATTGTGGTCAAAGAAATAAAGTATACAACGACGCGCACTCAACAGTAGTATGTTGGCCAGCAACGAACTGGCAAATGAGAAAGTTAGACGCAGAACGGTAATTAACCGTTGCTCTGAATTTGAACCAGGAGGATTAAGTACCTTTCTGGAAAAGTGCCTAATACTATTTAATCCACATTAAAAAAAATACAAAAACATCAAGATGACTTCAAGTGACATAATTTAATTTTAATTTCAAGTTTCATAGAAACAATCTTCTGATATAGAATAAAAAATGATTGCAAACGAAAATAAAAGAAAGCAAAGAGCTAATATGTAGGATATAAATGAAAACTTTATGATTGCAAGATAAAGTAAAGATCGTAAAGAGTTTTTATGAAGTTAGTTGGAAAAAAAAACCACGCAATTGAGTTTTGTTAGTCGACAGAGGCAATTATCTTCGCTTTATCTTAAGCCTTACTTCAAGACATTGTGGGGTTAGTAGTATCTAATACTATAGGAGCTATAGTGATGTCACTAATTTACCTTAAAGTGCTACCTACTAGTTTTATACTTTTTACTTGCTCACTTGTATACTTTTCTATAGTACATTCTGAAAGTAGCATGTAATTTTAATCACCTCTTGGTAATCTTTTCTTATACCTATTTTCTTGCTACCAGTTGTATCAGCAAGCAAGACCTTGTCTAATCTGGACAAGTTCTATGCTTTAATAATATTCTTTTTGCAAAGATTTGCATTAAATATTCTTGAAATATTGTCAATTAATTCTGACATGAAATCGAAAAATTTTTTAATTAGGAAAACAGCAATAGCTAAAATCAATAGCTGTAAATTTAATTCTTTATGATGTCAACCAACAATGGTGCAAATGAAAAGAATTAAATTTGAAGTTTTGAGTTCACTCACTATTATGTCTATA